ATTACAGACTATCACAAATTACTGAAGAAGGTTTATTTAGTAACTTGATGATGAATAACTCCGATATTTTTACGGAAAACAAAAATTTTTGATAAATCACAATCACGATCTTTTGTAGCGACAAAAATAACGTAAATAGGTAATTGTTGCACATTTTGTGCTATTAATTTTTCAAAGAATCTTTCCTAGGTAATTACATAGTTTCTCAATGTCCACATCCAAAAAGGAAATACAACATCAACATTCTGATTGTACTTTTCTTCATTGAGAGACATTGATTAAAAATCATGATATCATTTGTATATGAAGCGTATATATCGAATTCGTCGTGGAATTTTGCCGCGTTCGCTAATCTTGCAATTATCCTGAAATCCCCGCGTACCGTCAGCTATTTCTACTTAAACATACGACATTGTCATTATATAACTTATCGTGGATTTAATTTTTATATATGCAGCCAATATTTCCTTTCGGATTATGTATGTTTCTACTCAATTAACAATCACAGTATTGTAGAATTAACTCGGATTCATTTACATATTATGCCATATCCGCGATTGCAAAAAAATTATCCGATAAAAATGCGAAAGAAACAAATAAAAGCATTATCATGCAACAAACTTATGACTGTTTTTAGCCACAACATAGTATATGTATCTCTTGTTGATATACGACTCGTTCACGTTTAATATTCTATCCTATAAAGGTTAATAGACAGATGGATATTGTGAAGAGATGGCATTTCCAAAAAAAAAATAGGAGAAAAAGCTCGCCAAAATATACATGATTATTATATTAAAAGATTGTTATTTATTTTCACTTTTAATTATACATGCTGTATGTATGTTTTGTGTGTGTGAACGATTAATATTTAAATATACTTGATATGGTTCAAACATTCATTATCACATTAATAAACAAATAGAAAATTATTAAATATGATACTAATAGTGAAAAAAAAAGAAATGGAGTCCTTCGACTGCTACTCACTTCCGTAAGCATAAGGATAACCGACGAAGGTCGCTTGGGCCTCCATAAAGGATCCTAGGACACCGACGAGAACAAGCAGCGCGTAGATTTTAGTATCCATCTTTCTGATCGATCGTCGAAGAAGGAACTCAACGCGAAAAGATCGGGAGACAATTATTATGTATGTTATTACTTGTTGTATTTATATCACCACCGTGCGCGTAAAGACCGAAATGATTCTGATGTTGTCGCAGTCCGCGGGAGAATGACTGACTCAGCTGGTAGCGCGATCATCTTATATAGCATTCGCTTGTATCGGCACTTCATTACCTCTTCTTTACGACAGTACGTTCGCGAAAACTCCGAAAGAAATTCTACGTCATGTGTTTTCGATAAGGATTGCGTGCGTAATCCATCCAGAATGAATTTCCAAAACTTTGGTGCATTTCTTGTAGCAAAATTTATATTTATGCACCCTACAACTTCTTTATTATATAATTTTGGTGAAATTTATGTTAATAATTTTTTAACATTAATTGAAAACTGTGAATTAAATTAATTAAATGATTATATAAATATTATTTGTGACTTTGATATTAGATTACATATTTATTAAATCATTGAATTCTTACGGTAATAAATAATGTTTTAAAACTTAAGTTTAAGCTTTAGAAAATAAAATTTAAAAAAATTGTATATTTTATGACATCAATTACAAGAATTTACTTTCTTATTATTATTTTGGGCGAATTATATAACATTAACTCGTAATCGTGATGGCTATACTAATTTCTAAATTTTCAGAAAAAAACTTCGCTGTTCTTAAAAGATAAAAATATCTTCCTCGTCAAGATTTTAAATTATAAATATATTAAATAGAGGAAACCAGGGGAAACAGAATATCGATTATAGCAGTATTCATATTTTTTTTTCTTTCTGTGATTCTGCGTCCCAACGTTTCTGTCTTGTTTACTGTGTGAACTCGGCCTTTCCTTAATAGAATGGAATTGTTCAGACCTTGGCAATGATTTTGCTCCAAGTTGCTCTTATACAACACAATCCCAATTCTTGTTAAATTATTTTTATTTGGAGAAACTACATGATAGCAGTTCTCATGCCACACTATGATAACCCTGCGATAATATAGCGTAAATAAACGAACGCGGAAAGATTTTTCTCTTGATCATTGATATGCAATCAGGGTAGGAGTCACTTAGTAATAGAAATGATAAGACAAAATCATCACGGATTTTTTTTGTGCAAAGGGAAAAACCAGAAATGATAATTACACAGCTTTATTCACGCAAGCTCTTGGCGAGCACTTTCATCTATAAAAATCTATTTATCCTTTTCATTAATTTATAGAATTGCAACAAATGAGAATTTGTATTATCGTTATGTGTGTGTAGAATATTCCAAAATATATATTTCTTATGGAATATTTAATTAATAAAGAGAATGTATTTATCATTTTTCTGTAACTTACTTTTTTATAATTTTATAATTTTTTAATAAATTTGTAAAATCCGTGTTGGTGATTTAATGAACAATGAAACAACGAGTGATTCGTCACGTAATACCGTAATAAATCATATCTCGAACTCTATTAATATTACGACATTGAAATAAATAATATGTTCTTTTCAATTTATCTTTTAGTATCTATAATTGAGAGGAGAAATACGTTAGAAATGCCTACTGTATAGATCTAGATAATAATGTATTGCTTCTTATAAGATCTCTAATGTTTTTTGAAATGCAATAATATTTCTCTTCCGTAACCTATCGCATTTTGTATAATGTGATTACAAGTTAATTTTAACTTTTTCTCTTAAATTAAATGCATATTTATCTTAATCGAATATCAGTTTCAATGGTCGATATTTCACCTAGTATTATCATTAATAGTGACAAACGTGCGCGTAATTGTTTATGAGTAATAATGGTCTGTCGCGCACGGAAAAATGATCGCGACCGGTTTCCACATCCTGGTAGGCTGTTGATCGATACAGGATAATTGCGATTACTCCGACATTCTATGGCCCCCTTAAAGCCGCGCGCTCGGGTCTCAAACGTGTATTTTCCAATCAATCGATCAGGCTAATCCTGCAAACGATTGATTATCGGGTAGCAGTTTCATTAAATTAGTACCTTCTTAGCTGCATTCACAGAATTTCTACAACGCAACCGTATCATTTAAACGAATTATGGTCAACGCGAATAAAATGTTTTAACGCGATGCGCCGTCTTTTGTGTCATTATTTGTTTAGTCACGACTCGACGTGACTCAAGCACGCGTGTTTTCTCAATAAATGATAAAAAATATTCCGTTCAGATGAAAAATGGTGCGACAGAAATGTTAGGGGAATCGACGTTAATGTCGCTCGACGTGTACAGCGACGAGCCGATGTGTTGTTCATGCTGCGAAAATTTGTATTTTTGTTTATACAGTTGTAGCGAGACGTATATTATCGCCCAGACGAATTTAAGCAATGTATTTATTTTCTGTTTCCTCGGAGACACGCGGCGATTATGCATAATTTTCTTTTCATTTATTTCTCCAAGAATGAAAGTCCGGAAGAATAATATGATACATTTTTATTCCAAAGTAATTTTCGTTACTCAACAATTTCGAGATTGCTTGGTAACATTTTACTTCAAAGCGGATACAAGTATCAATTTCTCGAAAAAATAAAACGTTAAATCACCCAACAAACTTTACATCGTTGATTTGACCAAATATGACTTTCGACGCAAATCATTATAAACTGAAATGTCTGAAAATCTTTCACACAGCGTCGATTGTTCTTGTGTTGGGCAAATTTTTTTCTTCTTCAGATAATCGACTGACGCGGGGCTGTTCGGGAAATACCCATCGACAAACTTGATTACCTTCTGCGCAATAATCTGACAGCCGCTTCTTCCTGACCGCTCCATTGTGTTCTCGAAAGTAAAATGCCGCGCTTCGAGGTCCAGCAAAGCAAGCCTTATTATTGTAGCTGAATATGCATGCATTTTATAGATAGTTTTGATCTCTATATTCAATACCAAAATTATTTGTAGTATATATATATGTATGATTTAATATTTGGGGCATCAATAAGTTTTTATTTGTTTGTATACAAAACATATAACATCGATCAATGTCAATACTTGCAAATTAAAAATAAAATAAAAAACATGAGAAGATTATTATATTGATTTCTAGATATAATAAATATTAAAATATATATTTATTATATATAATAAAAAACATTTTAAATAAATATATATTGTACTTTTTAATTTATCAATACTATGGTAGTAACTTTAATTATAAATGTGCAAAGTCAGAAATGTACATTCGCAAATACCTTTTACCTTATGTCTGCGCTTCAAGTTCAATGTCAGGACAAATGTGTGTTTAATTGTGTTTAATCGTTTGACTCAGAACATATTTTGTATAGCCATTTAGATCTTATGACTCATCGATTATTAATAATTGGATAACGTGACAATCTTCCTTCAAAGATTATTGAACTTGGTATATTTAATCTCATTCGCGTGTGAAACATTTATCGAAGACTAATTAAGAAGCTCGAATAATTAAAGTACATCACGATTTTCTTGGCCGGATATCCGCCGCTGGCAGCGGCGAATATTCACAGCGAAAAGTGCAAGCTTTGTTACGCGAAATATTTCGTAACAGATTTATTGTGTGTGTATTGCTTCTCTCAGTATTATACATATAATTCACACGAGGCGCGCCCATCTGCAGCAGAGAAAATAGGAAATTATCGTACATTCTTTCTGTCTTTATTCTCAGGAATCTTTTAAATGTCTCCGGAAATTCCGAAGGAAGCTTGCTTAATCCTTTTCGAACCCATTAGTAAATGATACTTCGCTCTTTTCCCTTTAAATCTTTACGAAGAGGCCTGGAATGCATCATATGCATTAGCGAACACAGTAAGGATCAAAGTAACGAAAAGTGGACTATGATCTAGACTCATTGTTAATGTGGTGGCGATAAGCTTTTTATCACAATACCTATGTTTCCTTGACGTTATATAAGTTGAACGCATCTGACGAGAAGGTTCAGTGAGGAGTGTCTTTGTTTTAAGGTTCTGTCTTGTTTACTTGTGACTCAAAAAATTCTCATATATAAATATGAAGTGGATTCTCTTGTTGGCAATATTTGCCATTGTGCAATATGGAGAGGTAGAAGGTAACTGTCATATATTCCATAAATTATTTTTTCTTCATTAGTCTAAGCTAATCTTATATAAAATAATAATAGAAATAATAAAAATAAAATTTAATAATATGTATATGAAAAACTGATATGTGGTAGATGTCAGTTGTTTTAATAAATTATAACAATTGTAAATTTAATTATTAAGATATTATTTTGACAATAATCAAAAAATTTTTGCAGTTGTTAATTAATATGCGAGCAAAATATGTTTGACTTTACGGAAGAGATAGCAAGAGAATATTATTCTACCAAATAAAATATTAATTTAATGAATGAGTATTGCGAGTCATACAAATAACAGTACAAATAAAACGCAAAACGTAGAACGTATATACATTTTTGATAAAGCATAGATGAACAGATTGTCGATAGATAAGTGATCAATTGCGTATGTATAATTAGTTTCTCATGATTTATATGATCATATTTATTGATTAGAATAGTAAATGTATTGATGACTAATATTTCTCGGGGAATGTTACAAGTTGGAATACGAGATTATTTTTTTAATTATTTCTCGATTTCCTTCTTCGTTTTAAAAAAGATGAATAACACCTACTGTATCTGATAAGATGTAGATTTACGGAACTCGTGGAATAGAAAAAAAAGAAAATACAAAATCTTTACGTAACAGCAACTAATAAAGCGTTTATAATTTTTCAATTAATAGAGATATATTAACTATGTAAATTAATAACATTAATGCAACAATTAATAACTTCTCTTTAACTACGTTTAATTCGAAAACTACGTTCGAAGATTAGTGAAATGCTTGAATCATACTGTTATTGTGGAATATGAAAAAATATTCCAGATTGCATATTTGCACTCGCTACAATTTCTTATTTACAATATTTGAGACTGCTGGAATATTCTTTCTCCTGATATCTCGGTATGTTGTTCGCTCTCTTAATCTCTTCGTTAAAACATCTCGGTATATGTACGTGTCTCTCAACGTAAATTCTCGGATTACTTGGTTATTTTAGCGGATTCTCAGTAAGAAAATTCCGCTCAATCCAATTTCAAAATTAAACTTTGAATCATTTGCTAAAACTTAAATTGTAATAATTATTTGAAACAAAGATTATAAAAATGTGTAATTTATTATGAAGAATAAGTTCTTCGCAATACTTATTGTAAAGAATACAATATTCCTTCGAAAATATAGCCAAAGAAAAACCTAGCAAATATTAATTGCAATTAATATTAAATATTAATTGTAATTAAATATCGATACATAAAACACAAAATTAATATGCGACGTTTTAGAAATTGCTTCTTCGACTAAAGATTTTTTGATGAATTTCTTTATTTCAACAAAAATTTAATGGAAGTTTCAAAATCTTTAAAAAAGAGAATAAATGTAAATATGTATTATAATATAGGTTATCCTCAATATAACAGCGCAGAAAAGGATTTGCTTACCATAGCTCAGGCACCATTTATGGAAAAACCAATCAGAAATTCGTTTGAATTTCGTTCACTGACACCGAGATCGACATATCCGATATTGTCATATTTAAACGATGCATTCAGTGATATTGTTTCTTATATCACAAAGAAATTTGAGCTTTTGGAAACAGGCTACAACCATCTTACTGACCGCTTAAAGGAGTTCATCCAGGGTAAACTCTTGAAGCGTATATATTCTAATATACAGGGTGAGTCATTTTAATCAACGCACGCAAATATCTCGTAAAGTAAGCAAGATGGAAAAAAATGTTTTATACAAAAGTTGTAGGGTTCAGAGGGGGACACATGATGAAAATATGGACTTGACCTTGAGTGACCTTTTCAAGGCCAAGTCAATGTGATCGATATTTTCTTAAATGGAA